TCACCCTTTAAAATTCATCCTCAATAATGTCAGAAACATGGACTCCTAACATGATCCCTGTATCTATACTGCTCATCTAGCTCCTGAACTAGGTGGATATGCTTTATAGATAAAATAAGTTATCAATGTTTTAGACCAGTGCTTGTATACTATATTACTGGTTACTTTTGTACTGAAGGCCAAATAAGATAAAACTATAGGGAAGATTCTACAAAGATCCCCCAAAACATAGAGAGTAACAAAGCTGAGATTCCATAGGCCAAGCAGAGACCTAAATACTCAGCAGCATCCTGTGTCCATCAGAAGCCTAGAGGGCAAAGTACTAAGAAGATACTCAGGAGGGAGTCAACTCCAAGTCCTCCAAAATGTCTTCATTCAGCTGTGCTGAAGATTCTTCCACCTTTCTCCTAGCTAGTCTGTCCTGGATCCCCTCACGCTCAGACCACACAGCTCACTCTAAAGAAGGGAGGAGAAAGGTTTGTGTGACTTGGCTTACCATTAGGCAGTTGGTGACTCTATCATCTTCATGTGTGATTTAGAACAAATGAAGAATTCTCCAGTACCAACAAGACAAAGGGGAGCAGTCTCTAAAGCAAATCTATTTCAATGTCCACAGAGGCTACCAATGCTGTGTTTTGTTGTTTTTCTTCTTTTGGATATCAGCACAGAAATCCATTAATATAACGACTTTATGATTCTCTACTGGTGCAAACCATTGTTCCAATCGAATGAGAGATAAATCACCTGGCATTCAAAGAACATTTTCAACTACCTTAATTAAGTCCACAGTCCTTCCCTATCCCATACAATCACTGCTTTTTCTTTCCTTGGTGTTAGATATTAAATCCAGAGCCTCAAACATGCTAGATAGTAAGGTATAGTCCCAATATCCAAATACTTCTTTTGAAGAGCTTTTTTGACCAATCAAATCTGCCCTAGAACCAAACCTATAAGACATGTACAGTACGTTTGAATCTTCAACAGAAGAAATGATCTTACTTTTGCAAAACCAAGGTCATTTTTTGTGGAATGCTCTTTCACACCTGCAGTACCATGCTCATGTAGCAAGGGATGAAAAACCAAGTCCTTTAGCATCTCTGACCTATGGGCCACTGTTTTGCAACATGAAATCAAAAGGTTTACTCAGCTTGCTGACTTTTTGACGGGGGCATGCTCACTAACAGCCATATGCACATATCACTTCATTTCACTAGTTATTTTGTATTCTTGTTTTATGTCAGGCATTCTTTATTCAACACTTCATGAGCAAATAAGGCCAAATAATAAACTCAGAATGTTTTAAAAATATAAATGCTGTATCAATAACCCATTCCTTTATACCATTCATGCCACTCTTTCAAACAAGAAATTTAAATATGAATACTGCTGTGCTTTCCAAACTCATTGTGTAATTCACGCCATTAACCCAGAGATGAGTCAATAACAATCTACATAGCCTTCAAAAATGTAAAGAATGAACACAAGTGTTTCATGGTCAGTTGACCTGAACAGCTGATAATCAAAGTAGGCGATTACTTAATTGATATGAATTCAGATTAAATACCCCATCTCTCTCCAACCATCTTAAAAAAAAAAAAGCTCTCTTTATTTCTTTAAATTCTCACCATGAAAGACTCACCTTAGCTACTGAGATTCTTTTCTTTAAGATACTCATTAACCTTATAAAGTACTCTTTTCAATCAGATTTGCCTCTTCAGTTTGACTTGTGAGCACTACAGTTATCAAGAAACGAGAGTCACCCAAACCAGATTTAGGTTCTCATGGCTTGCCTTTACATAGCGAGCAAATGCAAACAGAGTCCAGAATGAAGTCACTACAGGGTGTTCCCCACTTTTGGCAAGTGAGAACTCATGGATTAGCTTCTTTGTTATTTAAAGAATCATACAGGATATAGATTTGACTACATTTTATCTCCTATTATTCTAAAAAAGTGGGACTAATTCCACTGGGATCATTTCTAAAGCACAATATCAAGGGTAAAAAAGACAGTCAACATCGCGACTTGAATGGTCCTCTCTCAGCCACTGGAATTAGGTTCCGATCAGTAGCTGAATTTGATTGATAAGAGAATAAGGATGAGAAATGGAAGTCAAGATGCCCACTGACTCTCTAAAAAATGATTTTGGGTAGTTTTAGTAAAATAAAACCAACTCAATGTGTATAAGGGATATTGCATACATAGATAAATATATAACATATTTACATATCTAGATTTACAGTATGTGTTAAATTTATGTGTATCTAATACAACTAATTGTTTTGTGGCATACCTCTTTTTTCCATCTCCAACTCGTTTCCCTTCATAAAATTCCTAAAGAAAGCATCACAATGATAACTACCCTGAACAGATCAATCTACTAAATGCCCAGTATCTTTTGATGCATCTACACCTACAATACATATGCTATTCCTAAGTGATCATGTATTATTTTGGTTATGTGTGTGTGTTGTATGTCTTTGTGTGTGTGTGTGTGTGTGTGTGTGTGTGTGTGTGTGTGTGTAGAATATGGTGATGACATAACACCTCCTCTTTGTACAAATGAAGAAATTGACATCAAGAAGCATTAACTTACAGGTATCCCAGGGACACAGAGGAGCAGGGGTGGAGCCAGGTCTCCCATCTGCTCAGTGACAGTGTGCACTGTTCTTTCCACTGTCACACAGGTCACATCATGTCACATTGCTCACAGACTTTGCAAAAGTAAAGTAACATATGGTTTAAATTAGGAATGGGACTTACAGTGTGTGTGTGTGTGTATGTGTGTGTGTGTGTGTATGTGTGTGTGTGTGTGTGTATATGTGTGTGTGTGTGTGTGTGTGTGTGGTAGATGGAGGAATACTTAATGGAAACAGTGATGCCAACAAATCATATCCCTTAGCCCCTCGAAAACATGTAGGGGATATAGAGACAGAATCCAGTCTCCTAAGCCATCAGTCATCAGGGAGATTGCACATTTAGGTTTCCCTGGTGTATTATAACACCAGGTAAGAGAATTGGTTTTCTTTTTAACAAGTTGAGGGTCTGGAGTAGAGTGATTAACAGTAAAGGGGAAAAGCCTATCAGCCCTGAAAGATTATTTCTTTCCTGACTCTCCTTCTGGCCCAGAAACATAGCTAATGGGTAACTCATACTCTCAAGACAATCAAGCCATTTAGCCCATTGTCCCTTCCCCTCCCACACGGCACCCTAATGCCAGTTTTATCTCCTCTGATTCATTGTTTACATCCTCCATTCATGACTTGTAACTGAGTCTGTTTAACTGCTTATTGATTTCTGATTAAATATTTTAACTTGCCTTGGATGTATATTTGGGGTGTTTATTTTTGTTTTTTTGCTTGTTTGTTTGGTTTGGTTTTTGGTTCTTCATAATCTACGTTTTTTCCTCTCAAACCAATTGCTTCTTTTTCCAGGAAAGAATTACTGCTAAATCAGCATCCCTCTACTAGCTGCTTTTGCCATCCCCACTGTCACCCCAGCTTCCTCTCTTCTTTCAGATTCTCCAGTACCCACACATATCTTCTGTGCAACCTCACATCATTCCATATTCAACATGAGGCTCTCCCTTCTCAGGCTGTCTGAGCTTCCCCTGATTGTTTAGTATTGTCAGTCTGGCATTCCCAATTCAACATAAATGCAAGAACCATGTCTAAGAATCTCCAGACCACTCTTCTGCCTGCTTCCTATATGCATTAGCATATTGTTCACCATAGCAAGATGAAGAAGGCCTTGGCTGAGGCGACAGTCTAGACAAGGCAGAGGATGTGAGTGCCAGCTGCGTTCAAGTGACACTGACGGTAGTCTCAGTGCTTCCTCTACACCTCCACCTCATGTCCTCTTGGTCCACATCACTTTACAGTGGGTTATGGTGACCTGCCTCCACTGTAGGCTAAGCCTCTAACCTCTCTGACCTGGACCCTACATGCACTATGCCCCTATGTTGACAAACATTTTATCTTCCTTTCTGATTCTGGAGACACAGCCAAATGAAATTTTCACTTATATTCATCTGGTTTTCCACTGTGAAAGATAATTTCATCCTTTCCACAGTTGTTAGCTCTCTTGAAGGTTTGAGAGAAGGTATGTAATAGTATGGTGACACATGGGAGGTCCCTCCCCTCTCAGTGTCTCAATCCTCCTTAGACTCCACCTAAGGCTAGAAAGGACACTTCTCTTCCAGAACCCTCAAGGACCTCGAAGCAGGGGTCTGGAGAAGGCTGGACTTTCCCACCAGGCTGTCCTCTCATCCCCTACTCAGAGGCAGAGGGCAGGATGCTACCTGTAGCTTCAGCTCTCCTTCCTGAGGGTTGGCTTCTAGGGAGCTGCCTCTCTTTTCCTTCTTGTGGACATCATAGCCAGGAGTTCTCAACCAACTCCCCCTAACTTTCCAAATAAAGAGATGTTTGGAAGAAAAGGTGGTGTGTGTGCATGTGTGTGTGTGTGTTTGTGTGTGTGTGTGCATGAGAGAGAGAGAGAGAGAGAGAGAGAGAGAGAGAGAGAGAGAGAGAGACCCTTCTAAGCTACTGGTAGTCTCAAAAACAGTCCTGCCTCTCTCACACGTTCCTGGAAAACATACACACACACACACACACACACACACACTCACACAAGCACGTTGCTCTCCAGCCAATGCATGATAGGAATGCCCGCCTCTGCTGCCTCCTGCAGGTATCCTTCTTGGTACAGACTCGCTTGCTCCTGCCTTTGAGATTCTCCTCCCATCTCATACACCTGCTAAGCACCTCCAGGTCCCTGCCAGCACCTCTCGGGGGCTCTGCTCCTGGCACTCCGAGGTGCCACCTGAGCACAGGCCAGTAGTAGGCAGCAGGATCCCTTCCGCCCTGGGGCCTCGTGTACACTCAGGGAAGTCTCCAACAGGTGCAAGCCAGAGGCGGGATCTTAACTTAGCCAGCTTACTCTTTCATCAAGGCTCTCAGGACTCCAGCACTCCTGATCTGTAGCTCTCAGAACGAACACTTACCCAGGGCAAGGGCCAGGAGCAGCGGCAGGGAGGTGACACCGCTGCCCGGGGCGGCCGGGTCCATCAACCGTGCTGTGTGGGGCAGGGCAGCCCCTGGACGAGTCTCCCGGCTCCTTCTCTGTGCCCTTCCCGGGCCCTGGCACCGAGAGGGTGCTTGGAAACTAATCCCTGAGCCAGGAGGAAGCGAAACTACGCAGCAGGCAGCCTGGCTACAGAGCAGGGAAACACCCGGGGCGGGCAGCCAGCGGGTTCCAGTGTCACCCTGAACTGGGAGCCTCCTATTTATCCTGGAGCCTTCTGCACACACCCCCGGAGAGGCACACCATTTGGTGCTGGTAGCCTGCACACTGCTCCCACCCAGTTGCCCCACGCCCATACTCACACCCAAGGAAGAGGGCCACCGGGCCAGCTCACCCACTCCCCCTGCTGGGTCTCACCTGATGGTTCATTTCTCTCCCCCTGTGGGAGAGAACAAGGTAAACTGGGCCCAGAAGAGAGACAGAAGAGGACCTGGTCATGTGGCCTCAACTCATGGAACCCTCTGGAGGAAAGTCTGGAACTCTCCTTCTGGACTAAAGGCGCATGAAATCTGATACTAGAGCGAAGTTCACTGGGGGAAAAAGAAAAAAAAAAAAACAAACAAAACAAAAACACCCAGCCGTTTGACAGTTGACACAGGCAGGCCATTTCCCAAGAGTCATTGTTGTCTGTAGAATTCTTCAAGGTAATATCTCGTTTTTTCAGTGTCTTCTATTCATTTATTAATTATCCGGGTATTTTAGCTTGCCAAAATGTACTTTAGAAATTTCATGGATCAGCTGGATGTGGTAGCGCATGCCTCTACTCTTAGCACTTAGGGTAGAAGCCGGAGGATAACAAGTTCGCAGGATAGCACAATGTTAGCTCAGAAACTAACTCAGTAACAAATCAACTAAGTAAGCAGATAAATAAAAGAATTTCATTTATATTTTTATCCATTTTTTTTCATTTGTCTACCTCTTAATTGTAGTTGGATCTTTCTGTTTTCTTTTCTTTTTCTTTTGTGTGTGTGTGTTATGGTGTATGTTGTGGTGTGGGGTGTGTGTGTGTGTGTGTGTGTGGTGTGCTTGTGTCTTGCCAAACCTTACCCCATACTTCATCATGACTAGTTATGGGAAGTTCTTATGCATCGAGCCATTTCTGGAACCCAAAGACACACTCAACAGCCTTCAAAAGGGGAAAAGAGCTTCCAGCTTCACCATACAGCATAAGTATATTTGCATCTGAACTGACCAAAGGACTTGAGTCTTGTGAACTGATTTACTGATCTTGTAAAAGTGATACATACGAGCTGCCCACTTTCAGAAGTTGTATTTCTGACGCTGGAAAGTACAATAAACATTTTTTACATATGAAATGTGAGTCAACCATTTGCCTCTTCTTTCGAATCTCATCATATAAATTAAGCAAGTGATATTTTATTTCTAAATTAATCCTAATTATTTTAGTGCCTTAGGCAAATAATGTATCTGGAAGAATGGAAATTGGCTCTTTGATTTTTAAATCCATCCATTCTAGTTACCCCTTTAGAGCCCTGGGAGAGGACGCTTTCTCAGACGAAGGGTGGGGTCGAAAGCACAGAAGGACTGGGGGATAGAAGGTCATGCACTGCAGAGGTGAAGGGCTGAGTGGAGGAGGTCAGCAGGGCTTTAGAACTGGTGTACTCCCTCAGCGTGTGTCCCTCCTTTTCTCTTCCTGACATCTTCTGGTGTAGAAGGAATCCTATACCAAGGATCTCTCTGAGATGATACCATACTCAACATTTGCCTTCTTATCACAAGCAGACAGCTACAGCCCCTTTTCCTATCCTGCTATCTGTAAATGCTAATTTAAAAAAAAGAAAGAGAGCACACCTAAGCAGAACTCACTGTTTGCTTATTGAAAAATTATAAGAGGTCAGGACATGATATACGTAGTTAGCATTCCTGACATTCACATGGTAAATTAACTTTTTCAGGCCACTAGAGGATGAAATAGTGTAATTTAATATACTAACTAGGTAAGATAAAGTAGTATCTTTCCCTGGGAGCTTTATTTACTGCCAGAATTAAAATGAAATGCTCCCAAGAATATGCCCTCTACATTTCCTGGCAACAGAGAGCTAGTCTCTTCAAGGTCAAGAGAATCTTCCTTCCTCTTTTACACTCTGTTCCTTTCTCCTTCTCCTTCTCCTTCTCCTTCTCCTTCTCCTTCTCCTTCTCCTTCTCCTTCTCCTTCTCCTTCTCCTTCTCCTTCTCCTTCTCCTTCTCCTCCTCCTCCTCCTCCTCCTCCT